AAAAAAAGTTGTATGGTAGGTCAAAAATCTTTGGAATTTTTTGGGATTTTTTAAATGATTTTTAGCCGCGCCCCTGGGGGATGAAAGGGGTATTTTTTTTATTTCAATATTTTTTGACGTCATATCGAAAAAACGATTTTATTAATGATAAAAATAAACCAGATTTTTTTTTATTCAGTTTACTTAATTTTTAACCGCGCCCCGCTAAGGTAAAAGGAGCACGTATCAGAAGATCAAGAATTGAAATGGTCCTATCCTTTGGTTAAAATACCTGACAAAATTATTGAGCCTAAAAAACTCAAACAACTCAGAATGCCTTTACCAAATATTGCCAAAATGGCAGATATGACAGGCGCCTCAAATTGAACAGTGGCGAAAATAGCAACTGATTTTTAGAGAGAGAGATGATTTTTAGATTAGTGTCTTCGGATAATCCCATCAAGGTTATAGATAAAAGCAAAATGGCCAAAAAGGAAAAGCTGTCCAAGAACTAGCAGCTAATTCTGACAAAAGCATACAGGGTATTTATTTTGATGGAAGAAAAGACCAGACCATTATACTTGTTAAAGGACGTCGTATTACTAAAAAGCAGGAGCATAATATATCGATAATTGAAGAGCAAAGAAGCACCTATCTTGACCATACAAGCATGAATAGTTCCGGCACTGCTTTGAATATATCAAAAAGTATCATATCACTCATTGAAGTTAAATGTATTTACCTGAAATATCTAACAGTTGTTGGATGTGACGGTACGAACGTCAATACTGGTTGGAAGAGCGGTATTATACGGCTGCTCGAAATTCATATTAAAAGACCCCTGCAATGGTTGATTTGCTTGCTTCACACCAACGAACTACCACTGCACCATGTCCTTGCAGACCTAGACGGACACACTAAAGGACCTTATTCTTACTCTGGGCCTATTGGATCTAAGCTGGCAGCATGCGAATGGAGACCAGTTGTAAATTTTCAGAAAATAGACACAACTTTATGTCATGTCGATGAAAAAGATCTTAGCACAGACCAGCAATATCTATACCGTAGTATACAAATCAAGACAGTTTCCTGATAAAATGAAAACACCCCGAGAACATTCTTCTAGCGATGATATCCGATGAAAGATCACATATCAGAGAACTCTGAATCAGACGAATTTTGAAAGCAAGAGAAACACTGCCCAGACTGAGGGTATTTAGAGTTTCCAAAATAAATTTCGAGGCCCAGGAATATACAGAGTTAATCGATTGGAGTCAATGTAATGTCACAGAGCCGCCCTTTGACAAAGCACATAAGTGATCACGATTTGAGAGAGGCAATTCAGAGCAAGGCCTTCATAATTCCCAAAACAATCAAATTTTGAAGAATCAAGATATAGCTACATTCGTGTAAAACTAGAAGCAAGATGTTTTTTACCAGAATTTGAAACCAAACAGCAGTATTTTTCGAGTAAGAGACCGCAAAACAGATTAATAGATCGAAATTTCTCTAAAGGGAGGAGGAAGGGGCGTGGGGGGTGGAACTCGACATACAGTTACCTCCCCATGGCGAGTTCTGGGTTGAAAAAACGATGAATAAAAGTTCTATAAATAAATTAATTTATTATATTAAATCATCTCTTTTCCAAGCGAAAAACTGTATATATATCAATTTTTTAGTAAACAGGGGCGCAAGTAAATGATAAGTTAAATATAATTTTTTTAATTCTGATTCATTCTAAAGCACAATGGATAAGTTTTAACACTATTACGGCCATTAATTTTGAGTTTGATATTTTGACATTTTCAGAGGGGGAGGGGCGTAAGAGACCGCAAAACAGATTAATAGATCGAAATTTGTCTAAAGGGAGGAGGAAGGGGCGTGGGGGGTGGAACTCGACATACAGTTACCTCCCCATGGCGAGTTCTGGGTTGAAAAAACGATGAATAAAAGTTCTATAAATAAATTAATTTATTATATTAAATCATCTCTTTTCCAAGCGAAAAACTGTATATATATATATCAATTTTTGAGTAAACAGGGGCGCAAGTAAATGATAAGTTAAATATAATTTTTTTAATTCTGATTCATTCTAAAGCACAATGGATAAGTTTTAACACTATTACGGCCATTAATTTTGAGTTTGATATTTTGACATTTTCAGAGGGGGAGGGGCGCGGTCAAACTCAATTTTTTTGTCAAAACCAAAAAAGCAATTTAAGTTTTAATCAAATCCACACACTTTTAAAAGTATGACAAATTAAAAATCCAAATTTTTTTTTCGCCCCGGCCTAACTGTCCAGCTTAGCCTTACCAGCAAAAAGCATACGTCAACTTAAAATACTTTTACTTTTTCTACTTAGACAAATTTTACAGATAAAACCACACAAAAATGTAAGAAAAAGCATCAAAAATATGATCCAAATATGACATAACCAAAGGCAAAAGTTCCCTCTTTAGCATAAAAAAAGCGTCTCGTCGTTGAAAAAATCTCTTAGCCGGGATCAAGGCGAAACGGACCTTTAAACGTTCGGTGCGAAGTGCCACACAATGTCACGGATTTCTAGCCGTATATCGTTAGCCTGGCACGTGAAAATTTACGGCTGAATCCGCTTGTGGCGCCACCAGCTGTCGGCGGAAGACGATGACATCGCCCCTGTGCTATGCGGAGGCTTGACGATCCTCCAGAGGCTCTCCACAAGATGTTCTAGCGGTGCGAGGGGGTACTGGGGTGATATTACGGTGAGATTAGGTAGAAAGGCGCATTTAAAATTAGCATAAATATTTTACACATTACTGTACTGTTAAAAATCTTGTTAGTATTCAGAAATAAGACATTTATTATTTAAGGATAATTGTGTTCAGATTATTAAAAGATATTTTTGAGGAATATAAACTCAGATGCAAAAAACCGCAAACGGAAAAATTTGTGGTCTAGTTTAACATGTAATGTTTTTAATTTTTAGCTCTATTTCTTTAATTTTTATAACAAACTGTATATAAATATATCAACTTTAATTCGTAAACTCACTTTATGTACATATATAAACTTTAGTATTTGACTTATTATACAGGGTTAATTGAAGAGTTGTTTTTTACCCTATCTTTAAAACACTCTGTGCAATAATTTCGTGAGCAAATTTTCCTAAACATTATTTTTCGGTCAAAACCGTGTCTCCTGAATATTGTTTTCTGACTCACGTCACAACATGCCTTGGTTAATTTTTAAGAGCAAAATGAAGTTGCCACAAATATTTTGCCTTTTTTTCAATTATAGTTACTTTTTGATGTTAATGACGAGGTAGCTTTGGTATTATTGTTGTGTATGATTGATATGGTTCTTAGTGTCGAAAATTGTGCAAAAGGCATTCATCTTGTTGAAGATGGCCGAAATTATAAATATTCGCTTGGCCCTTGAAGAAGAATAGGAAAACATAACTCAATATATTTGTAGCCTCATTAAAAGTATAAACCGATGTCTACAGATAGTTATAGCAGCCCGGGGAGGCAACAACTTATTTTCAAAGAAACGGTAATCACTGCTGGAAGAATTGTGCAGAAATGTATTTTACAGCTACAAAATTGTGCTACAAAACAGCTACAGATTTTGTTCATTTAGTTGGCAATAGATTTTAGTTTAATAGATTTTAATTTTATCAGCTGGTATTATCAGCGTCAAAATAAACAAAAAAGTAAATAATATTATAATTTCAAGTTTAAAAAAGAAATATTTATGTTTTAGTTGCATTAATGCAAAAAAAACGAAAATTTTCTTATGAACCTTATCATATCTTTCAAAAAACAAATGGTACAACATTATTAATCGAGATTAGACGATATTAAACCAACTTTTTTGTAGTCGTTAGAAACGAGGGGAACGAAGATTTACCTAAAAAGCGTTTTCGCCGAAAATAATAAATTTGAAAGGAACGATTATGCCTTTTTCCGGGACTGGATTAAATTTAGGAAATTTGCTTTCTGAAAAAACGACAAATTACATTTATCTTCACGAAAGTATATTTGTAAAACATACCCCATAATATTTCCTTCAAATTAAAAGGGAATTTCTAACCTTGTTTTTCTGTCTGTTGGACGAAAATAAGCCATGATTATATTATAAGTATATTTTTTTCTATGTTGAATATTACAGAGTGAGTCTTAAATAAGTGCAAATATTTTTAGAGGTGGTATATTGGGACCCCAAAAACATGCCTATGACGTTATTTTGCGAAAAAAAATCTGTTATTTTTCGAAAAAAATATTGTAATTTTTTATTATGTTTTTATTAATTTTAGTTAAAAACCACAAAATATTGATAATATGGCATTTTAAATTTACAAGAGAGAAACTCCAGCAAAAAATCATCCGTTTCAAAATTTAAACAACAAATTATTTTTTTTCATTTTCAAAATGAAATAACTCTGTTATTTGAAAAACGGCACAGAAAAAATATGCTATCTTTATCGAGATCTACCAGCCCTCAAATTAAGAGCACTTATTTAAGACTCACCCTGTATAGTTGTATTAAAAACAGAAATTTTTTGCACTGAAAACTGCGTAGATTTCACAAATACCAGAGTCAAAACTACAATGAATTGACATGATCTGCTACATAATATAAACGCTGCACAGAATGTTCTTCGTAAATATACCTAAGCCTTACAAAAACAACTGTGTGTGCACTATGTTCGCATATTTGAAGTAAAACTTCTTACAACAGCTATTAAATTGAAGAAGTTGAAGGACATATCTGAAAAAGTGTTTTTTGAAATGTAGAAAAAGTAATAAATTAAAAATTAATAAATAATTTGTTTCACTCTCACAAAATTTGTATTTAAATATGGATATTTTTGATAAACACGTGCACTGCTCATAAATAAACATCGTGTCGCGCTTGTGTGTCACGGCTTTGAATTTTTACTCCCAGCGCGCGCAAAGAAGTTTTACTTCAAAAATAAAGTACCAAAATTTATATGAATCCATAATACAAGCCTCAAAAAATTGTATTCCAGTTAACTCACCCACTTCAGGTCCACAAACACGTGGAATAATTTCCAAGATGGCCGAACAGGAGCTGTCATTGAAGCAAAGCTGTCGAGCCGTCACGCAATTCAATATGGAAACCGTGGATTTTGTATTTGTAACTGTAACAAAGAAAACAATAATGTAAAATTCAATCTGGTTTAAATTATTATACAATAATATCAATAGATTTATCGTTTAATACATTCAAAACCTAATACATTTATTACATTCCAAACTGAAGAGTTTTTATTAGTTTACCAGCAGTGGGATTCTGTAAGCTCCGTAGCAAGAAATTTCCTGTCTAGCCAATGCTATTTGTCTACGATTGATGAGTGGTTAGACAAGAAATATGTTTACAGAATCGGGCCCCAATCGCAGGTACTAAAGCACTGGTTTCGAGGCTCGAAGCTAAAGTTGATATGTTTGGTTTTATATCTTTAGATTTTTGCTATGATATTCGCTCTGCCACGGCCGAATAATATTTTATTAGTAAACTTAACAAGGCCCTTAAGCCGGGACCCCATTAGCCAACACGCCACGCTACGCCATGCCACCCCACGTCATGAAGATCTGTGTGTATATTTTTCTATTTAATTACATGTATTGCGTACACACTAGAGATGGGCAATTCGTCTGTCCCAGATCTCATGAGTACACTCTTTTCCACGTCGCCACACGTGGGCTCACGTGGGATAGCGTGGCGTCAGGTGGCTTGTGACCTGATAGGGTGCCCGCTTTATTGTCACACTGAACCAAAAACAAGCCATCAATAAATGGCCAAAAAATCTTTGCCGATGATACAGCACTACTCGCTAGCAGTCAAGAAGAGTTAATCAATTTAGTAAATAGGGTAGAAAACGAAAGCAATCGGCTCGGTCTGGAACTAAATACACATAAAACCTAAATTATGATAGTTGATAGGCAATATAACAACCATCCAAATATAAGTTATATCGACCGCTTTGAAGTTGTTAAGTCATACGTATACCTGGGATCACTATTGACAAATACAGGCACATCGGAAGAAGAGGTGAAGCGTAGATGCAACATGGCAAAGGTAGCTGTTGGGAGACTGAAAGAAGACAAGACAAGAAAAGACAAGACAAGAAAAGAAAAGACTGCCAGATTTCAAGAGCCATCAAAAACCGGCTAGTGAACTGTTTGGTACTCCCAATATTGATGTATGGCTGCGAATCGTGGACTCTCAGGCAGGCGGAACAGTTAGGTTAGGTTGTAAAAAAATGAAGGCGAGTTGCATTAGAAAAGTATATTACTAAAATATTTGATGTATTTTAAAGTATTTAAAATACATACATTTAAAGTATATTAATATATTTGTTCTAGTGGACCGATTTTGATGATTTTTTAAGCAGTATGTAGCCAAATTATTTGACTTTTTAGTATCTCTTTTTAAATTAAAAATGAAACTCCCCATCTGTTAATTATACGAGAGAAAACAAAATGTTGATATTTTGGTGAGAGTTTGAAACACCCTCTGGAATATGTTAAAACAGCAAGAAATTTAAAAATAATTTTATCATTTAGATACATCCTTTCTCGAAGGTTTGTTTTTTTGGTTTATATCATTAGCTTTATTTTTGTTGGAGATATTCGCTTTTGAAGAAGACACTAACATTTTTTCGTAATTTTTACATTAAGACCATGTTTTTGCTTTTGGTCCTAGTCAACGAAACTTGTCAACAAGATTTGCTTCATTTAGTCTTCTTCTTATAGTGCGTTAGTTAATATGTACGTTCCTTAGGTGCAATTCATTATAAATTTGAAAAGCTGGCAAATGGCGGTTTCTTAGCGATAAACTAACAATAAGTCGATCGTCTCTCTTAGAAGTTCTCATATGAAGGTTCCTGGATGTCTAGATTGACGTCCTCATGAACGTGGTTATAATGCAAAAACCATTGAGTATACTCTATGGTATTAAGGTATTTTTGGAACCGGAATGTTATAGCAAATTCACTGAACTAAACAAATATAAATAATTTCATTTGAAAAACTAAAACTTAAATATAAAAATATATTTGACTCACCCTGTATATCTATAAAAATATTTTTGAAATGCATACTACCATTAAACACATATTTTGTAAAAGGTTTGGAGTGAAAATCTGAAATAGAAATCCTGATATACAGAGCTTTTTTGAAACAATGTATGTATGCATTTGTATATGTGTGTTTAATTAAATACTAAAGTGAAAGCAACGAATTTAAATGGGTAAACTTTGTAATATATCTTATTAACAATACAATACAAAAATTTTTAAAAAAATGCATTCACAGTAAATGAATTCCGAGGTTTGTATCCCATAGGGCTTAAAGCACTCCACTAATATACTTTACTTCAGTACTAAACGGTACGAAATATCTGGGCTAGCTTAGTGCCTTTTTGAATAAAAAATAAAGCGTTGTATATTTTGTGATTATCTCTATCGACTAAAACACACTAAATTCAGGCATTATGTCGACGAAATAGCGTTTAACACAAATCAGCTTATAAGCTAAAATTAGACCACCGTCAAATTCCATCGGGCGCATAACCTATAATTTTGTTAACTGCTCTCACTAGCTGCCTGCGATGATAAATTGTCACGAAACTCATATACCTAATTCGGGTAGTTTGTGCAGAAAGTATATGCCGAAGCGAGCGGCTAAATCGCTTGCCATTTTGCGGAAATACTTTGTAATAATTGGAATATTTCCGTGGAATATAAGGTTATTATGTCTATAAAGTAGAGCTGTTATTACTTAGGAAAGTTGGTGAGTTTAAGTACCAATAATTTAACATATTTAGTTTAAGCACTAATTACACTAGACATAAAATACAAGGTGGCGCCTCTCATGCGCCGCGGAAGCTCCAAGAAGAACGGTAGTTTATATCGAAATGAAATTTTGGCAGCATGTGTAGGTTAACTGAAAGCATTTTCTAAAAATATATGGAATTATACAGGGTTTCCCAAAAAAAGTTACACATCAAAGTTGTGTTTTTTCTAATGGAACACCCTATATATTAATTGATTTTCGGATTTTAGGAAAAAATGGAGTTTTATTAAAGTAGTATATACCTAAATTCTAAGGATTTTGACATATTTCACGTTTTGTGAAAATGAAGAGTAAATTTTAAATTTCGATTATAGCTACCTAAATTTTAGTTGACCTTGTATAGACTGATATTTAATTACAGTAACCATTGTATGTTAAACCAAATTGAAATTTGACCCTAAAAGTTATACAGAGTGTTAAGTTATACACTTTTAACAGCAAGTTACTCCATTATTTTAAATGGAACATCCAGTATATTTTTCCGGTGTTCAATGGGGAATTTATATATATATATTCAAAATACCGTATGATCGAAAAAAAACGGCGTCCAGTTGGCGGGGAAATGACGATCGATGACATTTCCCCATATAAATTTACATATAAATTGACAGCGATCTTCATTTCATAGCCATCGCTGACGCCGTTTTTTCTCGATCATACGGTATTATTAAGGTTGCCTACCCCTCAGACAAAGATTTTTCCAGATATCTTAATTTTTGTGATTTTGCGTCAATAAATATTTATTATTTGAAAAAATCTAGGTGGTTGTGTGATATACCGTTTGTTAATTTAACAAAAATTAAAGATTGTAAAGTAAAATACTCAAGGATAATAAAAAGATACACGTTTAAAACATATTTTAAATTATTACAGAATACAGTCAACATTAGTTGGCCGAGTTTTGTAAACACTGTCTTTAACATATCCCCATAAAAAACTAGACTAGATAAAATCAGGAGCATTTAAGTAATCTATTAATTGGTGAATGCACACTGCGTTGACCTACTAATAGAATTATATCAATTCTTTCTGATGTAGGATAAGTTTGCATTTTCGGTAAACTTCTGAGAATTTTTTTTTGTGTTTTAATTGACACAAAATGATAACTAGTTGTTAAAGTTGAAATAATTAGATAGCTATGTTGAAGTAACGTCAGACATATCACAGCCACCTAGATTTTATCAAATAATAAAGATCTACTCAGATCAAATCTTGTAAATGAAAATATCTAGGAAAATCTTTGTTTGAGGGGTAGGCAACCTTAATAGTATTTTGAAGAGACATGAATTCTCCATTGAATATCGGAATAATATACTGGGTGTTCCATTTAAAATAAGAGAGTAACATGCTTTTAAAGGTGACCAATGTTCAATATTAATTTTGTCTCACCCTGTATAACTTTTTGGATCAAGTTTTAATTTGATTTAAAGTACAATAGTTGATTTAACTACATATTAGGCTATACCGGGTAAATTCCAATTTTGGTAGCTTTTATTGTAATTTAAAAATTGTTCTTTATTTCTAGAAAATGTTAAATATGTCAAAAACCTGACATTTTAGTCATATACTTCTCTTATAAAACTCACCTTTACTTTTCTCCCAGAATCCAAAAATCAGTTAATATATGGGGTGTTCCATTACAACAAACATAACTTTGATATGTAACTTTTTTTGGGGACACCCTGTAAAACTCTATATTTTTAAAAAGTGCTCTGAATTAGCCTACATATGCTCACAAAATTTCAATTCATTACAAACTGTCGTTCTCCTTGGAGCCTCCGCTGCGTATGAGAGGCGCCACCTTGTATTATCACAATAGTTTTAGTCTTAGTCAATGACTAAAGAATATAAGGACATGTAACGCCCCTATACGGGCTGCAGCAGAATTTATGACCTTTTTTTTGTTTTGGTGGCAAACAATGAGTCATAATTTGGTCACCAGCGACAATTTTAGCGATTTTTAATAGTTTGTGTGTAATAAACTATGTATAAACTTTATTATAATGGTGATTAGTTGTTCAGCTTTCAAGTGTAAAAGCCACAGCGATAAGAAAGAGCCAGGAGTTACATTAAACAGTCCACTCCAACTTTTTAGCGTTTACTTATTGAAATCGATAATTATACTTCAATTTCAATTGAACACCCTGTGGAATGTACTTGATATGTGCTATACGTCGATACTAGTTTTGTACCTTTTGTTAACATTTTAATACGTTTTTTTCGTAATTAATTAGGATGATACACCATAGGCGTAGTCAAAACAATTATCAAAAAATATAAATATTGTTTCAAACAGCTAGGTTAAGAAAAATATGTGCCACGGCACTGTTTGATGGCATCGTCACAATTTGCTCTCGGGTGTTATTTGTCCTTGGATTCTTTAGTCATTGGTCTTAGTAGTATGTATTAAAGTAAATAAAAATATGCGCGTACTATGTGCGCATACGTGAAGTGGAACGTCTTACTAACAGTTATTAAATTAAAGGATTTGAAGGACAAATTTGAAAAAGTGACATATAAAGCTCTGCCGTGCATAGGCAAAACCTAGTAAGTCACTTACTGTCAAAATTAGGTTTTATTATCATCAGAATCTACTATATTTTTCCTTTATGGTGATAGGGCCGTTTATGTCCTAATTCCAAAAGATAAATATTTTACAGCCTTTGGAAATTCCTAGTAAGTCCAAAAATATTACCTTTTCCAAAGGAAAAATGTAACAAGTCAAGTTTAAAACGGAAAAAACTAGTATATTTATTTTACTATTGTAACCACAAACAAAAGTTTTATAAGTTACATTGGAAAAATCTTGCAAAACAACTAACTAGATATTTCCATATTTTTGTATTGAAATTAAATTAGGTACGACGTTAGTGTATCAACTAAGTTCTTCCACTTTAAAGAAAAAAAAATGAATATTCTTCTTGCAATAGGTAAAACGTATTGAGTCTATTTACATACCAACCAGGCCCATACTTTGAGGTAAAAAAAACATAATCAATATATTTTAATTAAAACATGTTTATTATTAAAAAAATTGTAACTCAGCATTACATTTTAACGAACGTCAAATAAACAGGTAAGTCTAGCAAACAGAAAAGTAAGTAAGAAACAGTTTTTGTTGTAACTCTATATGATAAAACTAAAATAAAAATAAGATATCAGAAGTTATTTTATATTGTACTTTTTTATAACTTAAATCTAGGAATACTATTATAGTCAAATATACCAATATATTTGACTCGTGTTAATTTTGATTCGAAAGAAAATCGGATGAATCCTCTGATGTCGATAAATTTTCCCAAAAAATCCGTTTTACAGCAGGCATTTTTGAAACTAAGTCGGTAAGTATCTTTTGTTTTTTCGCATCATTGGCACCTCTATCAGATTGTCTAGTTTGAGACATTGATAAACCAAACTTCGGCCTTAAAAAATCGAAAGACAAAAACTCGCTGTCTATGTGCCTTTTCTTATAAAACATGGTTTTCGACCCCTTTCTAAACTCCACTATTTTTACATCGCTTAGGTTTGGAAAATGTTCACCTTTTTTACGCCTTGACTTACTATTTTTTTCCATAATAAAATGTCATGACCCATTCAGAAAAAAAGTAGTAAGTCCAATATTTTTTAAAATACAGTATATATGAGAAAAACAACCGAAAATACAAAAAAATCATGCTAGAAAACCCCTTATAAGTTATAAAACAAAAACCTAGTTTTATTGTTATTCTTATGGCGATACCTTGAAATACTATTCGCTCCCCTGAAAACTTCTGAGAAATGGGTTACTAGGTTTTACCTTTTCACGGCAGAGCTGTTTTAATATAAATATTATTTTCAATTTATTTCTGTAATCTGTACATTTTCTGTTTCCTCAGTAGCCTGCAAGTTTTGTGGAATACAAACCAAAATAAACACATTTATATGCAAATGCCTAATAATGTTAACGCCTCTTAAAATTTATTTAAGAAGAGAGAAATTTTTGAACCTTACCAACAATTCGTCTTGTCTGTTTATGTTTACCTGTTTTGTTAATTATTTATAGTGATTTACAGTAATTTTGTTAAATTATACGAATATTCTCGTTGATTATTGATTTGAAATAAATATAACAATATCCTAAAATGGAGTCTTCCATGTTCTTGGGTTCCTCTTTAAGTTGGTTTCCATTTGGATACTTGTAATGTAAAATGTGGTGTATAATACACACCTTTTTTTGATTCGTATTAATACACACCCTATTTTTTTAAATAAAATAACTTCATTGGTTTTTATAATCCAACTAAATTCCCACTAATACTAGAGAAATTACATACTCCATTAAAAATTTATAAAAAAATTTCACCAAACAAATATATTTTTTAAACAGTTTATTTTTATAACAAGACCTCTTGTTTTTTTCAATAACTAATAGGATCATATGTCCAAAGAAACTTTCCCAAAAGCATCAGTTTAGCCTCTGGAGTGATGTATATACCCCTCAGAAACTCTAATGCCTCTAAACTTACTGACGTATGGATGGTCATAAACTTTAACGAGAGTAGCTCTTGCCGAATTGGTTGATGAATATTTTATATACTGAACGGATAGTTGTATTTTTAGGTAATATTAATGAAAAATTATATATTTTAACACCTAATTCTATCAGTTTTAAATTCTAATATTGTTTATTTGGATTGATAAATCAGAAAGTGAATTTAATTGACAATTTTAACATTGAAAATGTTTCTGTTATCCTATATAAGGGAGCCCAAATCGAATTAAAATGCTACATTTGCCACACCATGACGTCATATATACGAGGGTATAGGAAATCTCGGCGCAGCGGCGGCAGTCGGCCAGCGCGC